CCCCCAACTCAGTATATAACTAGGGATGACTTTGAGTTTCTGATTCTTCTGCCTCCATTTCCCAAGGCCTGGGATTACAGGCTTTTGCTACCATATCTGCTGAAATCCTCCATCTCCCCACTGTCTATTTTGGATATAAGATCTGGCTATGTTACCCATTCTGGTCTCAGACTCTTGGGCTCAAGGGATTCCCTGCTCTCTACCTCAGCCTTCTTTCCTTTCCCTGCCAGTAGCTGGGGTCACAGGCACCTCATGGAATCTGGCTGGGAGGATCCTTGAGGTAGCCTGCTTCATCAGTCTGAGGAGAAAATTCAGTGGCATGGGGGAAGGAGAGAAGCTTAAGGGAAGTGTGGTTAAGGGAAATTGTGGGGACAAATAGTTATTCTCAATATTTGAGGCAGGAAATGGAAACATAAGGAGTCTTACCTAAGGCTTAATGGAGGAGGGTTGTTCCCTTGTTCTGGAACATGAAGCATAGATTCTTTTAGCTCTGTACAGGGAGCCCAGGGCTCAGGTTGAATTCATGATTGCTGGGCAGATGAGATGGCTCGGTGGGCAGAGATGCTTGCTGTCAAGCCTGATGACCTGAGTTCAATCCCTGGGACCCAAATGGTGGACCAAGGTCAACCAAGTCATCCTCTCACCTCCACATGTATAGTGTGCACCCTCCTTACAAGATAAATAAATGTAATAAAAAATTCAACACCAAAAAAGAACTCGCGATTGCTGAGTTTCTTTTTCTTTTTTTCTTTTCTTTTCTTTTTTCTTTTTTTTTTTTTTTTCCGGTCTTTTTGAGACAGGGTCTCCCTGTAGCCCCAGCTGACCTGGAACTCACTATGTAGACCAGACTGGCCTTGAACTCACAGAGATCCGCCCGCCTCTGCCTCCCAAGCGCTGGGATTAAAGGCATGCACCACCATGCCCGGCAAACTTTGGTCCTCTTCAAGAACAGTAAATGAGCTGAGTTCCTTTCACTAAGTTTAAATGTGAAGAAAATCTTGTAGAATCCACATTTATGGAATGTTTAGTCAGAATATCAAGCATATTGCAGTACTGCGTCAGAGGTACTGTGGATCTTTTCATATTAGATGGTAAATGGACCAAGATGGAACACACCTGTAATCCCAGCTGTACTCCCAGATAGGAAGCTGAGGCAGGAGGATTGCCTGAGCTCTGGAGTTTGAATCCAGCCTGACCTACAAAGCAGGACTTTAACTCAAAAGCAAAAAACAAACAAAAAAGGCAAATCAGATGATACTGAGACTGTTCACCAATATCAGAGGAAAGGCATATTTTCTTAGAATAATGTGTCTGGTTATTATGCTAATGAACTCGATGTGACTATAGACCAGATGTGAATAAGGTGAAGGGTTTTCTGTTCAGTGTTGAAGCCTTACAGTTAAGATGCCTTGTGTGCACTTCCTTTATTTTCTCTGCACTCCATCATTTTGCAAATGCTTACAAAGATGCAGGCATTTATGCCTCTGTAGCCATTTAGGCAGATCTACTTAATCAAAGCATCTGAAGTGACCTTTTTGGCAGCTCAGTATTAAATATGTGTTCAATGTGATCATTTTATTAAATAAGAAATTAGGGCTGGGGATGTAGCTTAGTTGGTAGAATGTTTGCATAGCATGCACAAAGTCCAGCGTTCAGCCCCCAGCATAAACTAGGTGCAGGGGTGCATGCCTGTAATCCCAGCACTCTCAGTACTTGGGAGGTGGAGGTAAGAGAATCAAAACTTCAAGGTCATTCATGGCTATATATCACATTTGAGGCCAATCACGGCTACAGGAGACCCTTAAAAAATTATGAGAAACGAATGAAAGTAGAGTTTTATTTTTTTATTTTACTTTATTTAAAAAATTTTTTTTTGTCTTTTGAGACAGGGTCTCCCTGTAGCCTCTGCTGTCCTGGAACTCACTATGTAGACCAGGATGGCCTTGAACTCACAGAGATCCTGCTGTGGCGTGCTGGGATTAAAGACGTTCGCCACTATGCCCAGCATGAAAGTAGAGTTTTATTAAGCTTTGTTTGTTGAAACGTGATGCTGAGACTTCAGTTTGCACTGGGTGTGGAGGCACAGACTGCAATCTAGACACATTTAGGAGGCAGATGCAGGAGGGGTTTGAGACCAGCTTGGTCTGCATAGTGAGAGTGAGTTCCAAGCCAACCAGGAATACATAGTGAGACCCTGTCTAAAACAAAGAAAATACACACACACACACACACACACACACACACACACACACACACAAAAGGACTCCCGATTCTTGCTCTGGAGTGGAGGGTGAACTTCTGATAGACCATCACACTCAGTTTATTTGGTTTTGGGGATGGAACCCAGGGCTTCATGCATGCTAGGGAAGCACTAGATTAACTCAGTTACATCTTCAGCCTAATGTGATTCTGAATGGGGGAACTGTGAACTGTGATTTATCTGGGTCTCTGGGTCTGTCTGTCCTTTTTTTTTTTTTAAAGCAGGGTCTCGTAGTCCAAGGTGGCTTAAAACTTACAGCTTCCTGCTCTAGCCTCCTCAGTGCTGGGCTTATAGTTAGAGACTACCATACCTTTCTCTCTCCCTGAGTCAAATATAGACACTAGCAATTGTTCTAAATAGGAATGCCTCTTTCTATTTGACTTTTCCTCGAACACTGGTTATAAATCCTCAAATAGGATTATAACGTCTCCAGTTAATTTGCTTCTTAAAAAATAAGTCACGCCTTTTTAATACTTTTTTTGATTTATTTTTATTTTATGTATATGAGTGTTTTGCTTGCATGTAAATGCGCCCATGTGGAGACCAGAAGAGGGCGTTGAACCCCTGGAACTGGAGTTATAGATGGTTGTTAGCTGCCATGTGGATGCTGGGGACTGAACCTGGGTCCCCTAGAAGAGCAGCCAGTGCCCTTAACTGCTGAGCCATCTTCTCTAGCTCCAAGTTAATTTGCTTCTGTGTACACTGTTCTACTCAAAGGATCCTTCCATATAATAGCTTCATTATGTTTTCACTACTGATGTACAATCCCTTACCCATGCAGTATGTGTGTGTGGTATATGTATGTGTGCATGTTTGTGTGTATATGTGTATGCCAGAGGTCAACATTGGATGTCTATTACTTTCCACCTTATGTTTTTTGAGATAGGGTGTCTCACTGAACCTGGAGCTCATAGATTGGCTGCATTAGCTGGCCAGAGAGTTCTAGGGCTCCTCCTACCTGTGTCCCCCAGCTTGGAAATTATATGCATGCACTGCCACACCTGATTCTTTTAACGTGGATGTTAGGGATTTGAACTCATGTCCTCATGCCTGTATTTTATTGACTGAGCCATCTCCCCAAGACTCCTCATTTTTTTTTGTTTGTTTGTTTTTAATTCATACTTTTCTGGCTGTGAATGTTTTGGAAATAACATTGTGTTTTATCTATAGATTGCAGACCTGGGATGTGGCGATACTAAGCTCCTAAAGCTGCTGAAAATCTACCCATGCATTCAGCTGCTTGTTGGGGTAGATATCAATGAGGAAAAATTACATTCGAATGGGTAATACTTACAGTGCTATGGTTTAGATGTGGTTTGTTCCCCAGAGGTGGTGTGTTGGAAGCTTGGTTCCCAGATGGTGGTGCTGAGGTGGTAAAATCATTGAGAGGTGGGGTATAGTGGAATGTCATTATGTCATGGGGGCTCTACCCTCATAAATAGATTCTCTCCATTTTTTTAAAGATAAGGTATTGTGATATAGTGTAGCTGACCTCAAATTTCAGTTCTACCTCAGCTTTCCCTAGGGTTACAGGCATGTGTTTCCATGCCTGACTTTAATGCCTGTCTCTAGGGTATGGGTTAGGTCTCGTGACTGAACCAGTTCTGAGGGAGGGTTGTAAGGCATGTGTGTGCTTGGTTCTTTTATGCCACATTGACCTTTCTAGATTATTTTGAGACTGTTTCTTCTAAAGAACAAAGAACTAAAAAATCACCGATCCAAAAAGAGCCAAAGTATTAAAATGAGAAAAATGTCAAACATTTAAAATCATATTCTTTTTGGCCAAATTTCCCACCATGAAGGGAAGTTGCCTTTTGACCTAGTGGTAGAACAAAAAGAGGAAAACAGGCTGGGTCAGTATGAGCAGAAGGTGATTATCAGAGGACCCAAATTCTACAGATGTCTTTTTATTTTTATGGTGATGGGGATAATAATTGTAAATATATATGTGAAAGGTTGGGACTCTCAGTTTCAGGGCCTCAGCCAGGCTAGGTAAGTCCTCTACTACTGAGCCACATCCCCAGCCCAAGAATTTCCAGGTAGATTGTGCTCCTCATGTTTCTGACTCATCTGATGGTTCTTTTGCAGGCATCACTTGTCTCCCTATTTAGGGGAGTTTGTAAAACCCCGAGATCTCGATTTGACTATCATCTTGTATCATGGCTCTGTTGTAGAGAGAGACTCCCGTTTGCTTGGATTCGATTTGATAACATGCATTGAATTGTAAGTTTTAAACTGTATGAAAAATTTGAAAAATACAAAAGAATTGATTTTTGTATTCAGTCTCCTAAATATTTAGGTCTTGGTTATTTGTAAAGAAAGTTGTTCATCAGGTGGGAATGTCTTTTTACTTTCAATATTTTACTTGGAAATTCCAAATATGAAGATAAGTCCCAAAATAAACATATACTCATTACTCAGCATCTCCTGTTAATGGTTTTCTCCTTTTCCTTATCATCTGTATGTGTGCATTCTCTCCCTCCAGACAGGTTCCCCACGCCCCCAACTAACTAAAGGAAGGTTATATACCTAACCCTTTGCCTCTTTTAAAAAATTCCATTTGTATTTTTTTTTTGAAACAGTATAATGTAGCCCAGACTGGCCTCAAACTTGCTATATGTGAGCTTGAACTTCTGATCCTACTGCCTTTACTTCCCAAGTGCTGGGTTTTACAGATGTATACCATATGCCCAGTTCTTATGTGGCGCTAAGGATGAAACCTAGGTCGTCATTCATGATGGGCAAACATTCTACCAACTGATCTATATCCAACACTCTCTCTTCTGTCTTTCTGTTCTAGCTAAGACTTAGCACTGTATTGATAAGAATAGAGAGGGTTGGGCACCCTTGTCTCATTCCTGAGTGTAGTGGAAATGCCTTTAGGTTTTCCCCATTTAATATGTTAGCCATAAGTGTGTCACATATAGTTTTTATTGTGTTAAGATACATTCCCTCTCTTCCTACTTTCTTCAGGCTTTTTTCATGGAGTGATGCTGAACTTTTTCAAAGACCTTTTCTTTGATCTATTGAGATGATCATGTGGTTTCTGTCACTAAGACAGTATGTTGAACCAACATTTATATCCCTGACTGAAACCAACTTGGTCATAGTGTATGATCTTCTCAATGTGTTCTTGAATTCAGCTGGCAAGAGTTTGAGAATTTTCATGTCTATAGTCTCAAGCAAATTGGCCTATAGTTTCTTGTATTCTTATCTAGTTTGGCTATCAGAGTAATGCTGGCTTTGTAGAATGAGTTTAGTCTTGTTCCTTTTTTTTTTTTAATTTTGTGGAATAGTTTAAGGATCATTGGTGTTATATTGTTCTTAAAGGTTTGTTAGAATTTAGCTGTGAATTATACCTGAGCTTTTCTTTTTTGGGGAATGTTTTAATATCATTGCTTGTTATGGGCCTATTTAAATGGTTTATATTGTTATTAAAAATTATTATTGTATGTGTATGATGTACATGTGTATGAGTATGGGCATGTAGGTGCCATGGCATGTAAGTGGAGGTCAGAGGACAACTTTTCAGAAATTGGTCTTCTCTTTTTCTGTGGGCTCCAGGAATCAAACTCAGGTCATCAGGCTTGCACAGCAAGTGCTTTAACTTACTGAACCATTTTCCCAGCCATTATGGTGTCCTCTTCCTCCTCTTCCTCCTCCTCCCTTCCAACCCTGCCCCCCACTCCCTTCTCATATAGTTGAGGCTAACCTCAAACTTGCTGTGCAGCTGAGTCCGGCTTTGTACTCCTCTGTTCTTTCTGCCTTCACCTCCCAAGTGCTGGGACTGCAGGCATATATCACCATGGTTGGCTCTTTATTTTTTGTTAGATTGCTAGGGATTTTCTAATCTTTTTTTTTTTTTAAGGAACAGCCTTTTTTTTTGATTCTGTGTATTGTTCTTTTATGGTTTTTTTAGTTTCTGATTCATTAGTTTCTGTCCTGATGTTTGTTATTTCTTGCTGTCTGCTGCTTTTAAATTTGGGTTGCATTGCTTTTCTAAGACCTTAAGGTACATCATTAAGTTATTGATTTGGGATCCCTCTGCTATTTATTTTATGTGTATGAGTGCGTTTATGTAAGGTGCACCTGCATGTGTGTAAGTACACCCTTGTTGTGCAATGCCTGTGGAGGTCAGAAGAGGGTGTCAGATCCCCTGGAACTGGAGTTGTGGATGGTTGCTAGCACCATGTAGGTGCCGGGAATTGAATCTGGGTCCTCTGCAAGAGCAGCAGTGCTCTTAACTGCTGAGTTATCTCTCCAGCCCCCCTTCTGCTATTTAAATGTAATCCATCAACTCACAGCTGTAAACGTTCCTCTCAGAACTGCCTCACCTGGGGGTGGTGAGATGATTTAGCAGAGAAAGATAACTTGCTGTCATGCTTGATGACGTGAGTTTGATCACTAGAACCCACATGGGTTGAAGGAGGGAATCGACTCCGATAAGAATCTCTGACCTCTCCACATGCAGCATGAATATGTGTGCATATACACAAACATAATAAATAAATTACTTTTTCTCCCTCAGCTTTCATTAACTGCCATTAGATCCTCAGGTAGGGGTGGGGCCTCATGAGCCCCTCCACCCAACCTAGTTTTATTTCACTATGATCTGATAAGATTCAAGAAATTATTTCAGTTCTTTGTTATTATGAAGACTTGCTTTGAGGTCTAGAATGTGATCTATTTCAAAGGCAGTCCCATGGGGTACTGAGAAGAATGTGTATTCCATTTCTTTTGGGTGGAATATTATGTATATATGTTAAGTCTGTTTGCTCCATAGTATAATTTAACTCTATAGTTTCTTGGTTGAGTTTTAGTTTGGATGACCTCTCAAAGATGAGAATGTGCTATTGAGCTACCTACTGTTATCTGGCTCTATCAGACCTTCATGCCCATTAGTTTTTGTTTTATTAAATTGGGAGTCCCAGTCTTTGGTGCATATAGATTTACATTTGGTAAGTCTTCTTCATAAATTGTACTTTAATATGCAGTGACTTTATTTTTGTCTTCTAACCAAGTTTGAAGTCGACTTAATCGGATATAAGACTAACTATTCTAGCATGCTTTTTTTTGTCTTTTTGAGACAGGGTCTCCCTATAGCCCCAGCTGGCCTGAACTCACAGAGATCTGCCTGCCTCTGCCTCCTGAGTGCTAGAATTAAGGGCGTGTACCACCATACCCAGCTGCTAGCTTGCTTTTTTTGATTGACTTCAAGTCTTTGATTGTGTGTGTCTTTGCCCATGATATGTTTCTTTGAGAAAACATAGTCAGATCTTGGGTTTAAAATCCAGTTAGCTAGTCTGTATCTCTTTGTTGGTGAGTTAAGGCTACTTAACATATAAGATTGTGGAGAGATGCTTGCTAGTTCCTATAATTTTGTTGGCTGTTTTTCTGTTTGGTTGGATCATTGCTTGTTCTTTATGTCTTGCCTATTTTTAGGGGTTTGCTGGTTTATTTACTGTATTGGACATGATGATTTCTTTCCCAGTTCTCCACTGTTCCTCTCTTCCTCTGTGCTCTCATGATTAGACTTTGTTCCTCTTCTGGGCATAGTATTCCTTAAAGCGTCTTACACAGTGCTGGCCTGGTGCTCATGAACCACCTTAGTTTGTGCTTGTCTTGAAATGTCCTTATTTCTCCATCCGCTTTTAAAGATCACTTTGGTAGATATAGCAGTCTTGTTTGACAGTTGCTCACTTTCAGGACTTGGAATACATATTTTTATCAATGTTTAAATGCAGTATTTCAGCTTTGCACTCCACCTCTGATAGTCTTTTCTTTTGCTTGATTGAGCATTTAGTGATGCATCCTATTGTGTTCTTTATTTGGTTTACTGAGTTTTTCATTTCTCACATTTCTTTTCTCTTTTTTTCAAAAGTCTTAATATCCTTGCTGAGTCTCCTTTTCATCTTCCTGCCTTTCTCCTCCATGTTGCTGTTTTTTCACTCCAGGTCCTGGGTTCATTTTCTTATTTCATTCTTCTGCTTAGTTGCATCCTCTTCAAGGTCAGTGATCATTTTTACCAGGGAACTTTCGAGATTTCCATCCAGAATTTTTTTTACCTACTTCAGAGTAGTTGAATTCAGAAGGTAAGGAGTTGTGATCTTTTGGTGGCATCATGATACCTTCTTTCTTCAGTACTTTCCCTTCGTGGTCCTCTGCTGGAAATAGTCTGTTGGTTTGGCTGTTTCTTCTGGTTTTACTTGGGGCCTTGATAAGTAGCCTATTCTTTATTTTATTTAAAAAAAATTTATTTTATGTGTATGAGTGTGTTGCCTGCTTGTGTGTAAGTGCACCTGTGTCGTGCAGTGCCCACAGAGGTCAGAAGAAAGTGTCAGATCCCCTGGAACTAGAGATACAGATGGTTGTTAACCATCATGTAGGTGCTGGGAATTGAACCAATGTCCTCTTCAAGAGCAGTCAGTGCTTTTAACCACGGAGCCATCTCTCCAGCCCCAGCAGCCTATTCTTTAAAATAAATTTAAAAGTTATTTTTATTTTATGTGTATGAGTGTTTTGCCTGCATGTATGTAAGTGCCCCATATGTGTGCACTGCCCACAGAAGCAGAAGAGGGCATTAGATCCCCTGTAGCTGGAGTTATGGACAGTTGTTAGCTGCCATGTAGGTGCTGTGAATTGAATTTGGGTGTTCCGGAAGAGCAGACAGTGATTTTAACTGTTGAGCCAGCCTTAAGACCAGCCAGTTCTTGAGGGCTCCATTCCCAGTACTACTCAGAAGAAAATAAACTGCTATGACAGCAACACCACCTAACTGTACATGATGTAGAAATGCACTTAAAATCAGTTAAAGCCACTGTGACCATAAACAGAAAGTGGCATACTAGCAGTGCTATGTAGTTAAAAAAAATTAAGGTAAATGTGGAAATAGTAAATAAATGAGAGAAAGGAAAGGGGCAGGAAACAGTACAAGGGATGTAAGGCTGAAGAAAAGGAAGGAAAAACGAGAAGAGTATTATGAAAGGGAAGAGAAAAGAGCACAAAATTAGAAAAAGTGAGACCATTGAAAAGACTTCTTAACAATGAGAAAATTCATATCCAAAATTTGATGTATGCAAGAAAGAAATAGTATGTTCTAGTTAGCTTCTCTATTGCTGTGATAAAACATTGACTAAAACCAACCTGGGTCATAGCTCATCACTGAGGGAAGCCAGGGCAGGATCTCAAGGCAGGAACCTGGAGGTACAAGCTGAAGCAGAGAC